CACATAACAACGATAAATCGTTGACATTTCCTCCATTTGCCCATTAAGTAATTACTCATGTGTTGTGTTTCGACCCCTCACTCTCACCTTGTATCTCAACTTTTTTGTTTTACAAAAATAACTAAATGCTGTCAGTCATCGGGGTACGCTAGACTCTTTGATATAGCGGCTAGGCGCCTCGCCGTCGCACACAACAAACCCCAGTTCGATTCCCGTGAGGAAAGAAAATGTTTGTCAAGTATCTCGGTCTTACCTCTGGGACATAGCGAGCTAGAGTGCTCTAGTCCTCTACATGCTGGGATGTTGTATCCCTCTCAGCCCGAGTTGCTCCTGACAAGCACCGTTAGAAGCCCGCATCCTACATTGCCTAAATTATGTTGATAAAGTAAAAAGTAAAATTGTTCCCTCATCCGACCCGAACACTGGGGATTGCCTTGTTAAAGAGACAACTTCATGGGCCTTCGGCATATTGTGGTAGGGTGGCCAGTTCCTTTCCACGCCGCCTTTACTTCCCCAACTCGAAGTCAGGTACCCATTACTGCTGGGTGGGCAGGAGGGGGCGAAAAAAATCCGTGTCCGAACCGAGGCTCGAACCCAGACTTTCCGCTTCGGAGACGAGCGCCCTAACCGCTCCGCCACCACACCCTCAATTATGTTGATAGGGGAGTTTTAAAAATGCTACAACGGAGTAGCTTAAGGTGGGTCACGAACCTGTCAGTCTCACAAAGGCCGGAAGTTATGTCATAGACCTGTGTCACAATTTCCTAGATCGTGTTCTATTGTGTACTTCCGGTTCACTCTGAAGCGCCCAATTTTGACTTAATTTGAAACCAAATTAAACGAAGAGCAGAGAGTTCCCTTCAACTCTAAGCAAGAGCAGAAGATGAAAAAGAAAAAACAAAAACATAGACGAAAACAACAACAAAACAAAACAAAACAAAAGTACATAGACAATTGTAAAGGTGTCACAGGCATTGTTTGACCGTAATGATGAGAAACATCCACAGAGACGTTTGTGTAAAGAGCGAAGAGGGCGGCCATGACAGTTTGCGATCTATAGGTACAAGTCTATGGGTTGTATTCTGAGTCTGGCTCGTAATTGTGTTGTGCTTGGCTCGTCCGTCCCGGAATAGTTTCTTTCTCAGCATTAGCTTCCTGAAGTGAGACCAGGTCGCGAGTCTGTCTTTCTCTCTTTCTCTCACTCTCTTAATCACCTACTCTCTCTCTCTCTCTCTCTCTCTCTCTCTCTCG